AAACAAGAGTACAGGTTTGGAATGGGACTTATATACCTTTAGTATTATGGAAAGACCTAATCCCCTGAAACACTGCTTAACAGAAACACCAAACCTGAAACCGGAAAGATATCAGACCAAATCACATTTCTGGCATTTAATACTAAGATCAACGTTTCTCAGACATGGAACAAATCATCGATAAACAGTATCTCTCGTTTAAGAATATATCCGTTTCGGAAGCCAATCAATGTATAACTCGAAATGTCCCTTGGTAACAAGCTTCAATATTTTGAAGCACCAGGTTGGCATGATGCTGTGGGACGAAATAAGTGTCGTGTCCGCTTCGAAAGTACATACAAGACTCAAATATGTTGCAAGACGAAATCTTGTCAATTCTTTCTGTTTTAGGTGTTTACTTTACCTCTATCAAGGGTTCTACACTGAAAAGAAGGGTGCAACTTGCACGGGCTATAAATGCAATAGTTATTGCTTGGCTTCTTTTACTTCGTCTATATAATGATAGTTCAAAATTTTCGAAGTGTAAAACATAGCGTTCTCTTTTCATTTAAAATAGCTTATACGCCGTTTGTCACTTTGGGCACAGTGGTATAGAGGCAAAGTAAGTTAAAAGGAAACATACTCATATTCAAGTTTACTTACCATTTTGGGCACGTGGATGGACGGCGATGGAGGACGGTTGCTCCTGTCATCATCAGGTGTTCGAAGAGGTGCCTTCTAGAGTCGCCGCAGTCATCATTGTAGCCGTTCTCATCGTCGGTTCTTTACTGAAACAAAAATGATCACAACAGCTGTTGTTCCAATCAAACTAACACCTCTACATGAGGATTTCGTTCGGTCTTAAAAAACGTTTGCTCGTATGAGCCGTTTGCCTGCATAGTGCATAGTTCAGTGACAGTATTCAAGCCACTGTCTGCTCTTCCATCCCTTGCCGGGCTAGAAAAACGTGTTGCTTTTCTTCATCATTAAAAAGTCGTCATGAGTGTCAAAACAAGATGCCTTGTTCAGTTTAGCAGTAACATCGAAGACGCTCATCCAAACAGCCTCGTTCTAAATGATTGCGCAGACCTTAATCCAGAGCCATAACAATTGAGAGGTATCACTGGCGACTTTATCCGGTATTGGGAGTTTCATGCGAACGTCATATCGAATGTACTACAAGTCTGTAATCTTCAGGCCTGTGAATGGTTTGACTAGCAAGTCATATTGAAATTTAGGCGCGCTTGCAAGTACCTCAAAAATAGTGTTAATAAAAATTTCGCCAAGGTCACGATCTTGTCTAGAGACGGCCATTTGGCTGAAAAAGGGTGATTTTTGTGCTCAGTACGATCTATTGTATGAAAGCTAATGATCTACTCGTCCGCGGTACCTTGCTCTTGGAAAGAGATAATTCGTCCAAATTTACGGTAGCATTAACAAATTAGTAGCAGACGAGCAGGAGAAATAGAAGTTAGAGCCTACGCACGGCTTTCCATCCTTGTCAAACGAAGGGTATGACTAATCTATACAAATCATATAAGAGTAATGAAAACGCACGTGACATTGTTAAAAAGGAAACAGCCATTTATTACTGGGTACACGTTCGGTCATACTGAACCACATGTCAAATTACTAAGTATTAATTGGTCATTGACTATTGTTATTAGTGTTACTTTTAAGAATAGACAAAAACAATGTAAGTACGAAAAACAAAATAAAGTAACATTTTCGACTGTTCGCCACGGTCAATTGTACTATCAGATGAACTAATCGACAGTCATATAATTGAAAACTGTCGCGCGGTTGATCGGCGACTACGACAAGGCTTATATAAATTGCTTTGTGAATGAATCGTGTGCGGAAATTCATAGACAAGCAATAAAACGATGCATTAGCTTTTGATGAGCGTGATAAACAAACCTTAATGAGGAATAAAATCGAATTTTCAGAAACACGAACATTTTTATCTGCATTTTTTTTTTGTTATTACTGTTATATTTTTGTGAAGTTTTTATTGTATTTATCCTGTCCAATCGAATCGTCATAAACTGAAACGTTGATTAACGCATCTACGCTACGCGCTCTGCCAAGCTGCTGCGTCTACTATGTAAGAAAACTACCGACATATCAGCTCACAAAAGGCCAACATGTAAAAATGATTTAGTAATCGGCTATAAAGATGCAGCCAACAAGAACGGGAATGACTCACAACGATAAAGCGCAGGCGAATATTGGACGTGCAAGAAGTTCAAAGTTGGCATTTGTAAATTGGAAACGATTTCTGTCTTACGAAAGCCAATCAAAAGCTGGATCCGGAGAAGACTACCACAGCAGCGGCCGTCGCTGCTTGAACCAGGCGGACACAACATGGATATTCATGCGTTCACAAGCGCGTTTTAATAGGAGCTTCATTCTTCATGGTGATTTTTTATGCAATGAAAGGAAGCTCATTAGGCATTTACGTAACCATCAAGAAGCTCTATTTCTGAAAACCTTAAAGATTATAATAGCTGAGCAAATCTTCTCCATCCAATCAAACCCTACGCGTGTTTCTTCAATCGGATAACTATTCACGCAACTATTCACATCTATATATCATAGAAGCATTGGGATATGCGTCTTTTCAAATACGTACCGCTACCCGGACGTCTAATTTAAATCGTTTTGCCACTTTCTGGCGTTCGCCTACGAACAGAGCTGTTCCGTGTCCCTGCGCAAACTCCAACAATAATAATGACACACTTCATTAATGCAAGTACAAGACCGGATCAAGGGGTATATGCTCTGGGGCATTAAAATAAGGGGCCCAATTTATTCCAAGTTTCGAAGCAGCAAGGCTTACGTCACCCTGATCGATAAGAACGCCCTTTAGAAAAATGCATACACTTTAACCACTCTAGGACCTTATTAATATAATCCTCATTATATATTCATATGGGCAAAGAATTATTTACTTTTTAAAGTATAGCATCAACCACAAATAGAAATAATTTTTTTCGGTATTTTTCAATAAAGAGGCTCTAACACCGGATAAAATGAGATCGCGCTTATCCAACGAGCAGAGAACATAGGATGTAAAAAGTGGTTTTCTTCGGTAAAATATTTCTCGTCTTTTGCCTCCGCAGACAGTACATAGACTATATATCGAATAATGGGGTATATGAATACGTGAACATGTATTCTTCAAATGATAAGAAGACAGCTCAGCAGCAGTAGCAGTCGAAGGGCTAGTATACTGGGTGAATCAGAAAAATGACCGAAGGAGGGACAGTTTACAATAAATTTCCTCTGCCAAGTAAATGCTTTGACAAGAATAATTGATAACGAACGTTAAAAGACTAGAACGTCTGAAGCAGCAAATCTTAGGTCTTGCTGGGTTGCTATGACGCTTAGTGAATAACGTATTTGTCTGCTAGTTTTAAGGACACGCTGTTTCGTGCTGGAAAGGGCCAGCCGTCTGATGGAATGCCTAACAACGATGGCGAGCGTAAACTTTGAAACACGAAGGGTTACTGTGACACAAACAAGCAACGTAGTTTTAAATAGGCTCAGATTTTTAGACCGATCCAGATCACAAATCCCGAAGATACAATAGAATGTTTCCCTTACATGCCTATCTTGTATTCATTTGTATCTGACCTCTTAAATCTTGTTTGGATATGATGAGTCGGAGCAAAAGATGCGTTGCCAGGCACCTTCTGTCGAACAGCTTGCAATGTATTTAGTTACGAACGTTTGTGATCTCTACACCTTGCTCTGTCGTGTTTTACTGCCTAAGATGTCATTGTCTAATTTTATCACTTTCATAGAACTCAGACGATAGCAGGTTACGAATGCATAAGACTACATAATTACTGGTTCTGATATAAACTCGTCGTAGTTAGTTTACTTCTAGCGGTAATCGAGAAAAAAACATACGGTAACTTCGACTACCACGCCTCGTTCTTAGTCATCGAAGTCACAACTCAGTCTGTTCTATCTTACAGTGCAGAATACAAGTAACGCATAATTGACTTCGTAGTGTGTGGTCTTTGTTGGGCGTTCATCGATGACTGCAATTTAACATTGCGACCTTTAATACATTGCTACTTTTTTGTTAGCTGTGCAGAAAGCAACTTGACAAAGTAAGCAAATTATTAACTCTGTTCGTTTTTCTCCGTGACGGGCATTAGAAATAGGATTTTCAGAATTTTCCAGAAAACTAAATGCGGCAAGTCGTTTATCAAATGGAAGACACCACAAAATGACTGGCATAGGGATCAGTAAAGCAGAAAAATGTTTTCCGTGCACGTAACATGCATTATATACGTCATACATTGTTATTCTGTCTGTTACATCGTCTGACGCCGGTATTAGTCGCAGTCAACCAAAATGAAAATTCACTAAAGCCGAACGTATTACCTCGGCCTAGGAGGGCCTGCGCGATGTGTGGTGCTGTCCGTGATGATAACTGTTGTATTTCAGTCTCCTCTAATCGGCTGTCGTCGATACAAAAAGAAATGATTTCTGCTACGTTGCGTCATATGCCACGATGCATGCAAGCACACATCCGAGTGCGAGCTCTCCCTTCTACTATACGATATGCATCAATTTCAGTAGATGTAATCACAACCAGTTCTCTCTATAGCGAAAATGGTATCTATCTACCGCCCGTCTCTGTGTTGGCTCGCATTCAACCCGTGTTTTTGGGGTTGTTGTCGTTGTCGTTTCTGGTACCTCTATCATCGGCTGACTCTACTGTTGAACACAGCTTAGCACGTTGACGGCCCCACAGCGTACGCACGCTTTCCTCAAGCGGTGGAAGCAGCGGCAGCAGTAGTCATAGAACTGACAGTGCAATGACGTACGGATTGGGGGCAATGGGCATCGTCTCCCCTTTCCCCTTTTAAGACTACTGCGGCGGCGGGAGCGTATAACGCGTCACTACCACCGCCATCGCCACCGCCTATGTATCTGATATGTGTGAGTGTTTGTGGGTGTGCGTGTATCAGGCTGGCTGGCGACGCCATATAAGCCCGCGATCATCGCGGCTCTCCTCAACAGAAACAACTGCAGCAACTTGTTGTAGCTTGGAATTTTTATTGCGTTTCAGAGTAGCTCTAGCGGATCGTAGACGTTCGAAAGGTCGGGCACCTGTGATTCTCAGTAGATTCTTTGTGCATTAGCGGCATACACAGCAAAAACATGAAGACGTTTATCGGTTTGGTGCTCGTGGGCATGGCCATGGCAGCCCCCCCAGCATCTGGCGGCCCCGAGGCCGGAAAGCCACCTACGATCGAGTGGGGTAAATGCAGCCAGCTAAAGCCTTCCGACAGTGAGCGCATGACGAAAGCTGCCGTTGTTGAGAAGTGTGTGCAGTCTCTACCACTTCCCGAGGCTGGTAAAGCTTCGCAGGCCGAGATTGAGAAGCATCGTGAAGATGTGACCACCTGTGCCCTTAAGGCTGAAGGGTGGTTCGATGACAAGGGTGTTTACAAATTCGATCGCGCTCGTGATGAGATTAAGAACAAGAAGCTTGCCAGCGATATTGAGACTCCCGTTTTGGAGAAGCACGCCGAGTGCCAAAAGGAGGCTGGTGAGAAGCACACGAGTGACTATATCAAACAGGTTCAGCTGTACCAGGCATGCATGGACTTCAACATCTCGCAAATCTGCGGTATTAAGGTTGTATCTTAATTCATATTGGCAGGTTTCTACTAAGTCACTACAAGGCTGACAACTATGTCGACCAAAGAAGTATGATTGACTGAGAATATGGACGAATGAATTTCAAAAAGATGAATAGACGAAGGCATGGAGAGCCAATGACTTTTGCTTGTTAGTCCAACTACAACGACATTTGACATTTTCTAGTAAAGACGATAATAATTTTGCACGTCACCGAAAGAATAACTGAATATGACAGTTCCAATAACGACCACAACTATAATTACTTCTACATTATTGTAGCAATAAAAATTATAGCAATATTATATGCAAAAGGTATTTGATCACGAGTCTCGCCCTTGTCTGTGACGCGCCCTATTATATTGATTCCGTTCTGACCTATGCTATGACTCGGCTCTTAGACTACATCCACCTATTAAAATTCACCATATCGGACGCTAGGTGTGTAAAGTCACCTCGGCTGTTACGAAGCGCGAGTGTTTTAGTACTACTCAAAGCGCTAATATATTACCAGAACTACAGGCCAATTCTCGTGATGCTGATTTCACAGACAGATTTACTTTCACACGCGAAATGACCAGAACATGTAAAAACAGAAATTTACAATCTGCCGCAATATCTGCTTGCCTGCCTGAATCGGACAATGATTCGCAAAAGCACAACAACAACAATAGCACAAGTGAAACCGATCTAGCTCGGTCTAGCAACTTGAAACTATTGAGAAGAGTATGATGAATAATTTTGTGAGCAACAATAAAGTAAAATGCTCAGTGATAACTTCCAAATCTATTGTAATCCTTCGCACACTAGGTATCCTACGTGAAGCTGGTCAAGCAGGACCTCTTGATCGCTCCATAGGTAGCGTTACCATCGAGCAAATAGTCAATCACGCTAAGCGGCTACAGATCTAATTGCAGCGTTTTCATCTCTGTGATGCCGGTAATCGATTTCGTCGTACTTGTCCTAAGGCATGTAACACTATGCTATGCTAGCCCGTGAACTGTATTACTTCGTTTTGAATTGTGCCCGCCATTCATTTCGTGATATTCGTATACTTTCTTTTTCCCGCCTAAATAGCGATGGTTGATCAGCGCTCATTTGTGCGTTCGGCAACCAGTCTGTTAGCTAACCAGGCGAGCCGGCAGACGGGCGGGCGAGCGAGCCAATGACGATAGAATCGAATAGACAACCCCGTCGTGATAGTACTTCCTGATTTTCTCGATCCATTAAACTACGGCAAGTAACAAATCGATATCTTTGATTATATGATATTAACTATGGTCACCAGTTTTGCTATTGTTGCTGCTATTGGTAACAAACGAATTTCGTATAAATCTAAATTATAAACGGGTCCATAGGGTTTCTGTAAAAACGCTCAACGAAATGCACAAGGCTCTTGTCGTTACGTAACCTATTGGTAGAACGAATTGAGTGGAACGTGCGGTAAGTACCAGTATCAGCAATTTCTTTAATTATTTACTGAAAAGCATTAAAAACACTGAAGAATTATGCCTCCTATCAGTACAAATTTCTTTATTACGCTTTGTTTATGTATGGTGCCAGCCGGTGCCAGGCTTATCGTCAACTTTCTAATCTGTGCGGTCCCAGTAGCACCTGGCTGAGCGCAGCTCCCTCTAAGTGCACAGATCGATGTTTTAGCCGTTTTCCTTATCGCAAAACGCGACTATTTTGATTTGACATTGAATAATGATGTTACACGATCTTTCTGTGCCCACCCGGTAGCTTACTCCAACGTTATGTTGCCCAACTTTGGCGACAAGTACACGTAGTTCTCTATTGTAACGCCTCAGTATCTATCTGCTACTATCTACTACGATATACTACTACTTATCTACCATCTACTACTACTATTACTACTATAAAAGCTATCTTCCTCGTTCTTCATGGATTGTGTTAAAGACTCACAAAGTCAGATAGTTCAAATTATCTACAGCGCATCTTGAGCATTTTTTCTCGTCAACCACTTTTGGCCACGTAACAGTCTGCTAGCGAAATTTTCTGATGCATCGCCAACGAGATTCCACTGAGGACTTTCAAGGACATTTGCAGTTAATTTCCAACGCACCGCCAACACTGAAATGAACCGGTAAACATTGATTAACGTTGCATGTCTTTCCCACGTAATATCAACATGTCAGATTTATTTTACACGAATACAGGACGATTAGAAAAGCGCTGGCCTTCGTTAAATAAGCGGAAAGGTTGTGCGCCCTTTGACCCCTCTATCTTATTCGATTTTAACTTACAGATCGTACAAAGACATCCTCAAAAAATAAGCCAAGTTCACAGCGCGTTTTGCTCATTCTGTATACGCACTGACTAGCTATCTCAAATGCCAGCAATCGACTGTTTAAAGAGTAACTTTCTGACGAACTCATCGTAATCTCACCTCTTCAATAAGCCGCTAAATATTATTAGCTAATGACGTGGCCTTTCTTTGTGTCTTCGATTTTTTTTATTCGAAATTATAAGGCCACGCAGCGTATAGTGTGTTGTAGCCATTAATCATCGTTTCGTCCAACTGTTTACGATGGCCGACTACTTAAATTTGGCCAGGCAGAAACATGCTCAGACGCTCATGGTTGTCCTTAACACCGACTATTTGAGCACTCGTTTCGTAGTCTGACTATGCTACTGCCTCGGCGATTCTCCACGTGAGGTTTACACAAACAACGTTATCTTCTGGCTGTTACTTTCAGTTTTTACAGTACTTGTCATTACAATCGGCTTTCAAAGTAACATCTTCTGTTTATCACCGAACAAATGTCAGTCGCACACGCTAATGGAGCAAGCATTTGATTCCTACTGAATGACCTTGTCACAAATCCACCTGGTATGATTCCACGTAATTTATAATGTTTTATCTAAAAATTAGCGTCGACCGCCATTTAGCTTCGGCTATTATATCAATAAGGCGGATATGTTCATTGAATTGCAAGCCGGAACGGTTTTTCATCGAAACACCACAGGTAATTACTATACATTATCTACACCAGAAGTGTACGTATAATGAGAAAAACATATTGCCAAAACGCTTTTGAGATCTTCCAGTACCCTATATTATACCATCATGTCTACTTGCTGAAAGCAAGTCTGATTCGCTATTTGTATGTTGTCCAAATTTTCTACGGACCGAGTCGTACACCGAATAAATCAATTCCAATATAACAGATTTCGCGGGACTATTTTCTCTACCTTCTTTACTATGGGTTAGGCGCTGCGGACATTTAAAGATAAAATTAAATTGTCACTTTTCTGCTGAGGTATAGGAGGAAGCTACTGTTACTAAGTCATTCGTTCATGTATCGATTTTTCAGCTAGTGTATATTGTCTCACGGTCGCATAAAGAAATTCCCTACTGGCGTCCGCCCCGTTTAAGTTTGTGGCACACGCTTCCCATCCGGTTTGCGCTTGTTTCTGATACGAGTCCACAAATGTACTGGAACAAGTAAAATTATACAAACATGGAATTGCTGATAGTATACGATGACGCCAAACGAGACAAATCCGTAAATTGCTTAAAACTTTAACTGACGAAAAGCAAAAGGGAGTTTGACAAAAAAAATCTGAAGCCAGCGCCCACAGCGACAAGCAAAAGGGATAGCCCTAGAGAATAATATGTGACGGCCATTGCAAAAGAAAGAATAGAAAGACTGTATGATAGTAAAGACAGGATATAGCAGTGTACTAGAAATGCTCAGCTGGTTAAGCACGTACAAAAACATACACTAGAGCATAGATGAAAGTCCACGGAAAATGCCTCTCCTCATGTCGCTGTGCGTAGTACTACTGTCGATGAGATGTCTCTTGGATGGTCAGTGCACACTGAAATCTTGTCCAGACATCGTATTACATGAGGTTGTAAGACGAGATACGCCTCCGGAAGAAAAGCAAATTAATACATAAAGGTGTAATGGGAACGCTCGTTTGAATGCTCAAACACGATTTTCTGTTCAGTGAAAGATAGAGGAATCTGTTGGTTTATTTGCTTGTTTGTCATAGCAGCCCTTGAACATTTGTGCCCAAGGAGCACGTAACAGAATTACAACAAACAGTTTTGTTAATTGAAGATGTCACAGGTGATTCTACCAAGAGCTAATGTCAAGTTCAACAAGCTAATCACAACTGAATTATGTAATATTATGCATTGAATAATAAGTTTTAATTATGAGTGACCAAGCTTTGTTTTTGTGAGGCTGCTAAACAGTGGGAGATGATTGATCGTAATGTGACTAGACAAATATCCGATTTTATTGCATACTCATATGTAATGATAAAGTGATCCGTCGTTTAAGTACTATACTTATGCTTCATAAGCTATCCCCGTTCGAAAAAAAAATAAATTGTTTGACTGCGAGAGACAGACAAATTTTATTTAAATATTTAGGTTTAACAAACGTATACACTCCAAGGGAGACTAACGAAGTTAGTCTCTCTCGCTTTTTAAAAACTTACTAAGTTTTTACAGGAAAGCTTTCTGGATTTTGACTTTCTGGGCATCTCTATTCTATAAAATTTCACTTGAAAGCCCGTAGGCAATACTTGTAAAGAACGCTTTAGTAGAACACGTAACATTTCGAATCTGCATTTTTTTAAAATAATAATAAGGTAGATAATAGCATAATATATTTTTTCTTTAACATATATATATATATATATATATATATATATATATATATAATGATAATATGTTTTTCTTTTTTTCGTTTTTCTTTTTAATGTGTATTTAAGTAAGAGATTCGCACTGAAACCAGACTAAGAATACGGTACATATCTTACAAAATTAGAGAGAAAAATCGCATCTATGGCGTGGCTCGCGCAATCCTTTCCACACGCTGTGTCAATTGTTTTGATAATGCCCAATCTTGAGGCGTCGCACATTGACACTCGGCGTTAATGTGCGACTATTCAATCATCAATCGAGACTATTCTGGTCTCACAGTCTTACAGGTACAATGACGAGTCAGCTAGACATATCCTCTGAAAAACATTGGGCCATCATACATGGTATCCTATTTATCTAGTAGTATTTGTGCAGGATATCATCCTCAACCTATCTTTCGCGTTCTACCGCGGATGCTTCCTTTATTAGTAAGCAAGCTTTATATTTATTTGCGTGGTAGACAATACATGACAAGGGGCTCTTTCCTTTGTCTTTCTTAGGCTCTCACAATTGGCTTGTCGTTACATAGTGAACCCGCTGTTTGTGCCTATGCTATGTCCAGGAAAGAAGGAAGACCTAATAGACCCGCCACACCCTACTGATTCGCTTGCCCCCTCCAAACAGTTTGTTCTGGACGATCTTGGTAGTCTACAATGAGAAAGGCGATAACTGACTTTTCCACTACCTGTACACTTTCGCTATGGCTGGCTGATTTATACTACTAAAACTACAGCTCCTTCCGTTCGCACTGGTACAAAATACATAGCAATATCTGTGTAATTTTTATTTTGACCTCTACCTTTATACTGCACCTTTTCTACTCTGATAGGCGCGCATATAGTCGTACGAATAAATACGGTTTCGAGAATAGGTAGCGGCGCCTATCAGATGGGCGTTGTTCAAGCTATGAACTGGTGCAGCGCCTTGTTGAAAAATTTTTGGAAAAGAACATCTGGACGCTTGGGGTAACCCGACGCCAATGAAACGACCGACCGACATACAATCGACAAAGGCAAAAGCCTAACGTAGAGATAGATCTAGAGACTTAACTTGCCCGTCCCGGTGCTCCGTTGCTCTATTCACGCGACTATCGTGGAGAAAATAAAACAGATCTTTCTAGAGAAAAGTAAAAGACAGGAGGCAGCTAAGCGGTCGGTGTTTCATTTTAGGTGTAACTCCTTTGCCTGTTCCATCATCAGTTTCTTACGATAATATGGGGACAGTACTAAAGTGTGTGTACGGCGTGTTCTTTGGTGTTTTTATCCTGACGCACCACTCTATAGCTTCAACAAAATCATCTGATAACAAAGCGAAGATTCCTCGTATTGATCTTATTGACAAAGCGGTGCTAGCACTTAAAAGCGCGTTCTTGCGAGCTCTCAAGCAATGTGATAGCTCCTGCAGGGCTGATCGGAATGCTAAGCGTGTGGACGGAGACATGGAAGAAGCTACGACGCAGGAGGCCCTCGAACTTATAGCAAAGCTAAAATCTGGCCAAAATGTTGATTTGGGAATTGTTAGTGCATGGTTAGAACAAGCTGGAGATATCCAGAGGAATTACTTCAACAGTGTCTTTAGATACCACAAAGATGGCGATGTGAAAGATGCCTTGTTCTACCTTGACATAGGTTAGTACTTTTTGTTTGACGAAAGTTCGCACATCTAACTCTGAGATACGATCATCTGACTATCAATCTAACTAAGGTTTGTCGAAGGACATATATTCTTACGAGGCCTGTGTGGTTCAGCATCAGCAGCGATCTAACCATTAGATGAATTTTTCATCCGTACCCATTATCGGCAAGTATGTAGTAGTGAAGTGCGTCATATTCTTTAAAATTTGCAGCTAGATTGAGGAATATTGCTGGAATTTTATTTTCGAGGTAGCTTTCCTGCCGCCTCGCATGTTTGTCGATATTGTTGCCTATATTTAGCATCGTCAGATATTAGTATTCGCATATGTCCTTCAAAATGATTTTAACAGGCATCGAACGTGGAAATAACTCTGTTGCTGCTGATCTGCCAGCATTAGACTCTTATTTCAGTTTAAACACATCGAAGTATGATGATGACAGCGATATGTTTGTAGCAGCATTCAGCTTGGTCGCTAACGTTATTTTAGTTATGCAGTTCCGTCCATCCAAATGAGGATAAAAAAAAGGAGCAGTGGAATAACTCAGTTAGACTAACTTTTGGATACAAATATCACATGGTTAAAAGTTTAAAAAACTGCCCTTTATAACAGGTAGCTTCGCCTATTATTGGATGAAGTATTTATTACACCTAATTTGTCTGAGTCCAAAGGAAGACTTCACTAATTTCATGCTGTTATAATCAACGTAGGTGAACCTCACAAGGCAGCCAAAGAGCTCCTGTCCAATCAGCGAGTTCTTACGCAAATCGTTGCAGACTGCTCGACGTTCCTTGAAACGGCACAGGGCGGCCGTGGCGGAATCCCGTTTAAGTTACTTTACCAGCTAACAGACTTAACGCCATATCATATTTTTTTCGGATGCCTGCACAGGTTTGTCTCTTAATTAGCATCTTTCACATTATGTCGTTTCATGTTCTCGGTGCCAAGTAACGGCTGCTAACGCTTATTCTAGTATATCAAAGAAGCTGTGGAAGGAGCATTCTTTTCTAAATATAATAGTAGTTATATTGTTATAATGCTTATCCCTTACACGATAGACCAACTCGTGTGCTTTATTGAAGTCATTTGTGAATGCAGTCACTGCTTAAAAAGAGAAAAATGTCGTCGCTTTTTGACGCCATACAAGGTGACTTAAGATTTAAATTGAAGACTTAAAATCTCTCAACCTAACCTAAAAACAACAAACTGAGTATTCTTCGAATTTTATTCTGGGTAGCAGTGGTTCTGCTGAATAAGAAAGCCTGTAGCGTATGAATGTAAGTATGAATTCCAATTTATGTAACACCCAATACATACATGTTTTAGTTAGAATCAGTTGAACGGTCAGAAAAGTAGCCCTCAAAGGAAGGCTGCCGCTATAGCGAAAGGGCATATCTTGTAAATTCTTTGTTAATTTTTCTGAAGTGCACGTCGAACTTCTACTGTCACGCGGTTTCTATGTCAGTCAACAAAGAGCTATTTTCGTCTGTTGGTAACAACTTGCACTTGATTTTCGGCCTGGCATGTTTCTACTATCGCTTAAAGCTTACGATATTCGCGAAACAAATTGTTTGCGATCTAGGCCACGCTCAAACAACTACTGAGACAAAAATGTTTCGAAAATGTGCTCTTAGTGAAAGGAGGAGCCGAGTAATTAATTGTCTGATGACTGACTAGGGCTTGTGTCTACAAAATTAGTTAAAATGAATTGCCTTGCAGCACAACTGGCAGAAATAAGGAGCCTGCCTGTGCAACAGTAATGAAGTCCGCGTTCGAAGCCAGTTTTATCGAGCTCCAGGACACCCTTTCGAAGTTCTTCACCACCGAGATGAGCGAGGAAGACCTCTTAGGTTTCTAAGAAATAAAATGATGAAAATTATTTTGTTCCAATGTATATCTATCTACACTTATAGTATACATATATCTTAAACGTCAATTTCATTTTTCAACTGTCTATCATATGACCATACATCATTCTGTTTTAAACACGATAAAATTCTACTATATTTAGCCGAAACTCATAAGTATCGTTGAAAATTTTAGCTAATTGTGTAGCTAAATAAAGTTTCTACTACTCCAATTTGCTATGTTTTTCAAAACCTTTTTTTCGTGTGTGTGTGCATAATATGTCTAATATTAACTTTCTTCATTTTTAATACGTGTGTTGTGGCCGTTAAGTGAAGGCTAATCGTGCCTAGACAAAAGCGTGATGTCAACAACGCGCGCAATGGCATGCTGTCATAAATCAATAAGCACGACCGTTTCGATGCGATACTGGTATTGTACTCATAATTATGTGTATCATGTATAGATGTAATAGACTTAATTAAGATGTTAATTACAGTAAAATTGATAACGGGCACTATCAGTCACTTGCAGTGTAGTTATTAAACTCTAAAACTGTATGATTGACAAATTAGACAAGTAAAATCAATAGAAAATAAGAAGTTTGCTAAACAACATTGCCCTGAAGCCAAGAAATAACGCAATTCCAGTTCGAGCGAGTTGTTGTTATTATCTGTCGCTTTAGCAGAGCTGGCTCCCCACATAACAATTCGATTAGTTTATCGTACTGGCCTAAAACTATAATGTTTGCCTCTAATGTGGAGCCTTGAACGCGGCTCCAAAACGAGAGCATCATAACTAGCGTTATGTATGGAATGCACACAATAAAGCCATTGTCCAACAAGCTTCTAAGAAGAATAGCAGTCATTCAGTTGACTCGCATTCTGTAGGACTTCTTGCCTCTTATTTCGTCCTCCCTTCACAATCTGCCCCGTCAATCGTATGCAAAAGTACTTTAAAACAGGAATTTGCGCCCTACATCAGCGTGAATCAAAAATGTTTCATTTAACCCTGTCTCCCGTCTGACACAATGCAACCTCTACCTTCATACCGTCATGGCTACTTCTTTTAAACGCGAAAGTCATACTCCTTCTTTATGAAGCGATAGTATATAAGTGCGTTGGTACTGTTGTTTTATTTAAGGCAACTTCTTTCCAAAGTCTGACATTAGCAAAGGTAGTAGTGGAACATTGGTCGACAAATAGAATATGGTTTAATGGCAGTTTCAGCTCAATTCTGCATTTGTATGTGCCAATAAATCTACGACATGCACATTTTATTCAGGAATACTGAACATCTGTCTAATGAACTGCTGTAAGTCTGATCGCATTCTAGCAATCAGATATTTCTCGAGCTAGCGCTACGGCTCTGTGTTTTTTTGGTAACCCTTATACACCTGAGAAATCTCGTTGGCAACAGATAATATGTAAAACATCGCCAGATATTAAAGTGACTCTCTTTAACTACTGCAAACATTAAATATAATGTGTAATGATTCATTTTTTTCAAGCTATACCCATTTCAAGAGATGTCCCTTGCCGAACTTATCCTTTAAGTTGAATTGGGATCGCAGGGTTCAAAAAAAATCTGGAAACAACGAGCATTCGGAACCAATTACTTTCGAGTGTATGTTCTGCAATGACTGAGGCCTGGTACCTTATACCTTATTTTTACTAATGTTAAAACTTGCCTCGATGCATGTATTCGACACATGTATAAAGACGCCGATGAGATTAGGTTAAAAACAAGACGTTAGAAACATCCCGTTAGAAGTGCTCGTGATCTTGGCCATGTGTTCAGATATCTATGAGAATCTACGTTTTCATAGTGTGCTTCCACAACATGGTCACTCCGACTTCGTACAGTTGCTGCTGTTATTCTGATTATTTATTGTGGTGCTGCCTGTCGAATCGCATCTCCATTTGCTCAAGTACATGTGGCGCGTAGCGTACCACTAATGTGACGGTACCCTGAGCTTGCTTAAGCAACTCCACGGCTCGTTCATGGTTTTCGCCTTCGACGGAGATGCCATTTACAGCAAGTAACTGGTCACCGCGACGGAGCCCCCCTTGCCGTTCTGCCAAGCCTGTAAACAAAAACAGTTGGAACCAGAAGAGAGATGGCATTACAATTTACCTATTTTTATAAAATGTGCGCTCAATAAAAAATAATTTTGGTTTTGATCTCATCTCATTTAAACGCTGCTAGCTCATGGAAAGAACTAATGTTTTTTTTGACCCTTCATGGTTTACCCCTTCTATTCGGACATTAAATCTATTTCTTGGTTAACGAAAGAGGCTATTCATTTATAGACTCACTTTTAGATTTCTACTTCTTCTCTTAATTGTTGTTTATCGTTCACGCCGCGCTGCATGTATTTGAATGGTCCAATCGAGCAAAGTTTGGGCTATAAGCCAAACGCAGTGAAATGTCATTTATAACTTATCAGAGTCCAGGTGACTAAAGCCATCCTGGCAAGCCCTTAAAGCAATGCTAAACAGCTGTTGGTGCTTGTCGTTCAAGGGACAACCAGTTAGGGAGAAGTTTGCCAAAGCCTTATGAGGCCTAACATTGTTACGTAACAGAATTATTTTGAGACGCCCTCTATTTGTCCAAGGTGTTTTTTTGTCAATCTATTGGCTTAATTTGGCAACTTGCATCGAGTAAAAGTCTGTATTAATCGTTTCACTAAACAGTGTTTAACGGGCCAGACCCTTCAAGTTGTGGCAAATACTCTAAGGCGCCTATTGGAGGCTTGCCTGAGATTGGGGCTTTCACATTATACATTAAGCTTACTGTGGCACTGTCCAAAATGTGATTTGAGGCTTTAAGCGAAATGTTCATCTATAAAGCGCTGAGACCAGTTGTTGAAAACAGTTCTCTTCAGCCTCCCGAGCGATGCTCGTCTAATTAACTGCACTTTTCCAAGAATGGGAGTCTATCTATTCATCAAGTGCAGAATGGAGAATCTCATTTTCCCTAATAAAAAAAAGTAAACAAAGTGCAGGTTGTTAAATTCCTTTTTAACCATTTTTGTATGCGCACGTTTTTTAATCTTATATCTTCCGTTATTACGTATTTTCTGTGTAGACATAAATAAAAAAGCCGCAAAGAGCACCTCGTGTGTACAACGATTGATAACTTAATCAAATTTATCAACAAATGTAGCTCACAAAATAGAACGCACCGCCAGGTATGATTCGTGAAATGTAGATCGCCGAGTTCTGCTCTTTGCCACCCATTACATTGAAACCGAGGCCTTCATCCGTTTTCGGGAGTCGTACCACTCGCGGTTGCGCTCGACCTTCAGACGCAGCAAATGCCGCCACAGTTGCCTATGTGCCAACAGTCGTAAAAAGACACAAAGTAGAAAGACATGTTTCAGCATATCCATGTTTTTTATAACCACAACTTGAATCATTACCGCTTTAAACAAGTTCCCATACCCCTAACAATCTCCAGCTCATAGCACGATACACAATATAATCACGTTAAAATGTAGGTGAGGTGATGAAAGCATAGCTGCGTTTTTGAAGTCATACGTTATGCTTTTTTCTTCCTACTTAAGTACTACCCAAAAAGATCGAAAGCTTCGGTCACGAGTTCTAAAAGTAGTCGGATCTTGTTGTTAGATACCTTGGCCGTGGCAGAAGCTCTAATATCAGCGCTGGCAGCTGGCCCAGCGCCCATATCTGCAGTACGATGCACTTGCTCGTACACTTGACGCACAGCGGCTAGAAATTCCGAGTTGAGGACCTACATGAATTTAGAATAAGAGCTAACTAGTCATACGATATATTATCAGTGATAAATTAGCATGTGTTGGATTTGATAAGACAAACATAGGCATAGAAACCTCGCCTAAACTATTTACTCCAACATAAAAAAAAGAAGAACTAACAGAAAAGGTTGCACCGTAAACATATGCATATAAAGTAATCATAGATAACCATTCCATAGTAAACGAAGTACCTGCTCAAGCGCTGCAAGCTTCTCACCGCCGGCACCTGATCTTTGAAGCTTTTGAAGAAGTTCCACAGCTCGGTTAATATCTGTGAAGCAAAAAACAGCGTCCATATCAACCGTGTCATTTCTGGAGCTAAACTGTTTGTTGAACGTGTCAGGGGCAATCTACCGGCCGAGGCTCAAATATTCTCGGCTTACGCACTGGCTAACAGTGGAACGATTGTGTCCAGGAGGCATCAGCATTCTATATGAGTTTAGAACTTGTCGTTTCCAATAAAAGAAGTGGCGTATGTGCTTTGCAAAATATGAATTGTTTATCTTCATAAAAATACGCATAATGTGCGTTTTCCAACTGGATTGTCACGAATGACGATTACGCTATGTTTGTAATTCCTACAGATACATTAGCTACATTCTTCAGCTCACTTAAGTTGAATTTATACAAAAGACATTTAACGAAAGCTACACACGGAATATGGTTTTAAAAAAATAGGGCATTTTTTCTAATTTTACTCTGGAGTCAAATATTGTTAAACTAACAACAAGTTTTTTCTAATCAAGCAAACGCAGCGAAAACTAATTCGAGCGCATACACGTGTGCACGTATCCAAACAATGATCATGTGTAGCAATGCACAGACGTTAAAGCCTTAATGTATATTGTTAACGATATTATTTTAAATGTTGTGCTCCAAGAAAATACTCAGGCAACGTCTTAGGAATAGATTGACATTTTTTGGCCAACTTGACATTCGGACTAGCATTAGTCTCCATGCCAATAGAAATGGCACGTTTCTTAAATTATTCAATGCAGCGTCCACATTGTTCCAAAGTAGAAACATATAAAATTTAACTACTGCACTTATAATCCAACGTAACACACGCACTGTGCCACACGAATCTTAATTAACCTTTTGTCGGCGGAGCAAAGATATTTCGTCACTTTTTTCTACTGGCACGCATACGAAACCGGAGCGTATAGTCTGTCAAATCGATGAATGGAAATTATGACCATCGCTCATAATATATCATTTACGTATTTTTTTAGTTAACAACTGCAAGGTTTAGAATATGTGTTGAATCAAGTAGATGAGGCAAGATTTGAAATACTTTACAAATAAAACGGCATTAGTAAGTTCGAATAGATGTAGAACTGAGTCAATTTTATTGTTATTGATGGAAAAATGTGTATTCGAATAGTTTGTCACCTCGCTCAAGGTTCAGCGATTCTTCCATCGCAGCCATGGTGATTGTTCACTCTTCAACTGTGGCCCGACGAACTTTATCAGAATCACTATGAAAAAAAAAACACAATCCAGCAGTGAATTGAGCAGGCCCCACTCAGCAAAAAAATCAGGAGATCATAAATTTTATCTTCTTTCTATGAAACTGTTGTTGCACTTGTCATACACATAAATATTGACCATGATCGTTCCACCTAGAAGCATACGCTGTTGACAGATTCACAGCAGATTAAAAGACGTCTGGATCTAAGTGCACCTAACTCTGATCCTGAGAAATTCTTCTGAACTTTGCTTGGAACACAAATAATCGAAATCTAGCTTTGCAAATTGAAGCTAAACGATTGTTCGACCAGAAAGGTGTGGTCGCTAGTCATTAATAAGGCTTCTATGCCAGCCGGTGAGAAAGCGCGTTCGATAAAGCACGGCCCACATGAAAGCAAACAAGGCTTTGCGAATTGTATTCCGATTGTCTGGTCCATAGTTTTTTCCAGACCAGCATATAAACCGCACTGCGTGTGCGACGTTTATGACTATTCTTCAGAGACAAACGATAATAACCTACTAAGAACACAATCGAATCAACCGCAATGTCGCCTGCGGAAGAAGTCGTAGACGATGAAACTCAGGAAAAAAAATTAGCCAAACACGATGCGTCGAACGCGGCGGACTTGGAGAAGGTGACGGACTTCCACGAAGAGCAGGAGCTCAGTGGAGGCGATCTCGAAATAGCTCTTAAAGCAATTACGGAAAAGCGACATAAAGAAGTGCAGGTTAGTCAAGCGCGCTGATCAGAGAATGGTAAACGCCTATTTCCACTTTAAGATGCTCTCATGAAATCTAGGATACTCACAGCCTGAAAAAAGGAATAGAAACCATAAAACAACGGCATACGACAAAGCTGAATTGGAATAAATATTTGAGCATTAAAGTTAGAGACAAATAGATGGTTGACTGGAATTTAAATATATCATTTTTCAGAGCATATTGTGCTCGGACCTGGGCAGTACGCTACATTTTAAATATTAAAAGGATTTTATTTTATTATGGTCTGTAATTATAGGCAACTCATCTAGAGTAGAATGGTCGAAAAGCAGCGCAAGTGTGTTTTTGTTTACGCTAGGAGCTAGTCCTTGGGATTGTGTGTTCAACTTGCAACCGCCACAATTTATAAAAAGCACCTTCGTGCATTATTGTTATGCGGCTTTTCTTTCTTTTTTATACATGTTTTGGGGGGCGCTTAGTCTCAAAATTTGTCCTCTTTCAGCTTTCAAACCATATTGCTTCAGAAGAATAACAGCCACAATCACCAATCGTGTGTAGCTGTATACGGCGGGCCCTTAATTCCGCAAACAAAATACCTCTCCACGCTGATTTAAAAAAAAACGAAAATATTTCAACTTTTTCTAGAAACGCGTAGAGCACCTACAAAAGTTGGCAGCTGTGAAAATTAACAAGGAGGACGTTGACGTGATCGTTCGAGAGATGGAACTACCGAAGAACAAAGCCGAAACCTGCCTTCGACAAGCTGGTGGTGATCTTGTGCAAGCCCTTCTCGACCTTACCAATAATTGAGCCTTCGACGTACATAAACGTAATAATATATATTATATAAATTCGTACATGCGCTGGATGCATTTGTTTTCATTTATTCTGGTTCCTTATTGTAGGTAATGACTTTCTCGCATAAGTTGATATGGGTGCACTTCAATGACGTATATTTTCATGTGAACAATTACAGTCTCTTATTCCTTATTAAGTAATTCGTTGATTATGGCATTCCTTGAACAATATCTATTAAAAATCCCTTTGGCCGCGTGAAGCAAATATGAGTATTGAATAAGTGTATGCGCTATATTCTTCCCGACGCATCTACTCAAGCATCTATCCGAAGCAGCACCAATGGTGTGTCCTTAGAATGTTTGGATTCTTTCTCGCAACAGCTTTATAAATAACGGGCTAATTTTCGAGAATAGACAAATAAATCGGAAACGAAATGTTTTAAAAAAGAAAAAAATATGTCTCATTATGGAAAACAGTTTAAAAGGACTTCTGCGGGACGAACGCACTAAATTAAATCTAGCTAGTCGTCATTATTTACTACTAGTTTCATGTGAAATAACCATTCGCAAGAACTGCATCTGCTTCATCTTGTTATATTGATCCTCTAGAGGTTATTCCTACGTTCCGGATGTAAATGGCCGCACGTAATTAAGGAAATTTATATTTATTATATACAATTGTTATATACAGTAAACTCGCCTCATAGTAAATTTGTCCAGCATATAGATATGCTTCAATGATGCCTCGATCTTTTATTTTTCTTTTTTTTTTTAGACTTTTTGCTTTTTTTCTCTTTTTTGGACTTCTTGGCTGTTTTTTCATTTCTAGACATCCTCGCCAGTGGAGCTGAATCTACACTCGAATCGCTGTTATCTGAAGAGTCATTAGTTTTTGTATCTTGAATCTTCTGTATCACAAGTGGAAGCGACTTATCGTCAGAGGTTTCATTATGCCGCTTACTACCTGCGTCTTGTTGTCTCGCCGGAGAATCGGTTCTTCTCTGCGCCAATCGGTCGTCCCTGCTATATTTCTCTTGTGACCAGCGTGGTCTGCTAACACCACTATTGGGACTACAATCTTTCCGACACCTGGGATTGCGGTAGCCTGTTCGAGGACTGTAATTTTTTCTTGGAGTACGTTCTCTTTTGGGGCTATGATCCCTTCTGGAACCATAATCTTTTCTAGGACTGCGCTCTTTCCTTGAACCACTACTTCTTCTTGGCCCGTCGTCTCTTTTGAGTCCAGGATCTGTCCGGGGACTCCTATTTTGTTTCGGACTATGATGCTCTTGCCTAGGACTACGTTGTCTTTGAGAGCTGGACTCTCTTTTCGGGCTTTTTCTGATTGTTCTACAATGGCTACCTCGCTCCGAAGACCTCTTTCCAAATGGATCTTGTTCTCGTTTTGGAGAGTTTCTTTTTGAATAAGCTCGAGGCACTTTTTTATCCTCTGATGGACTTCTTTTCCGTTGTTTCACCCGTGACCTAGGACAGCTGTTGTCCCTTGATCGGCTTCGCGCTCTTTTTGCTCGACTACCTGTGTCGGCTCCCTTCTCGCTAGCACTTTGCTTACTGTCATCACCCATTATGAGCTCATAGTTGTCCTGTCGGCGATTTTCCTTGATGCGGTATTTTTCGCGGGGTTTTTCTTCCTTTCCGTTGTCTTTCCAACCTCCGACAACACCTCTTCCTTTGCCTTTCCATTTCACTTTAGCAACGGACTGCGAGAAGTCCACATGTATTCGCCTATCATCAATAAGCACATTGTCCATTTTGAAATATGCCTGCTCGCACGCTGCTTGATTAGCAAATTCTATAAAAGCATACTGAAGACTTTCGCCCGTCTTCCAATCGCGAATAACCTCACAGGATTTTATTTCACCAAACCTAGAAAAAATCAGCTCGAGATCGTCATCGGCCGTAATTGGGTTGAGTTTACAGACGAAGAGAACATTTTCAGGAGGTGCCATATCGGCATCAGGAAGATCGCCAATGATTTCCAGTATAGTAGCTTGCGCCTTAGCTTCTTTGTCTTTTTTCTCCTCGTCGAGCTCTTCAACGGTTTTACCTTCATCTTCATCGACCTTCTCGTAACAGGCTATATGATCAGAGTGAAGCTTGTCCAAAGTGACTTCCGGAGAAGAAGGATACTCTAACTGTTGCGGATCTTCAAACGGATCATCTAGAACGACGGTATGCGAGATACGTATATCTTGGAATGGACGTTCATCTTTGTCGCAGATAACGTTATTAATGCGCTTCAAAAAGTCCAGGCCTTCAACAACCTAAAATTAAATAGCAGAAAAAAACCACGCCTAATTTAACATGCCACTAAGACGTTACATAATTCAAACGATTATACGTATATTCTAATAACAATAATATATAATAATAATGAAACATTAAATCGCCAAAAGTAGCACAAAAATCAAATTGATTTATATGAGGATGTTTAATCGGTTTTATGAATAGTTTTGATTAACTAAAATGCACATAGACTTAATAAAACATATGGACCCTTGAAAGACCCCGGTAGAATTTCTTAACGATAGAATTTGTTTCCTGTGCTAATCCTTTGGGTACTCAATTTTTCGATAAATCTGAAATTTGGGAGATGCATATTATAAATGGCGTATTGCATTTACTACGGAGAATGTGAACTTAGCGTGTATACTGCTAAAGAAAGAGATGTTTAATTCAGTATTTCATGGTTAATTTTAAGCTAATATTGAAAAGGTGTATGGTGGCTATAAAGAGACTTGATGTTATAACGACGACTTGTTGGTCACTTTCAGACAAATCTTCACATGCTTTCATCCCAGTTGGCGCAGTTTAAAAGTTATCAGTTCTTCTTCTAATATAGAGTATCCTTCATATACAATCGAATGAAGGATGCTGTACAGAACTTTATCTTTGGCATCAGACAGGCCATAATCATTCGAAAAGAATCAACAAGTTATACCTAGACTTTTCTTTATTTAACTCGATAAACTTTATATAGAAATATTTTTAAACAGGGGTATAAAAACCTCTATGCAAACAATTGATGTTATCATGTTACTAAATCCTACTGAGAAATATTTACTCGTATAATAGTATTCCTACGTAGGTATTTAAAGATATTCTTAGTTAGCGTAGTACCGGGGTTTAACAGCGTGCCAGCTTTCTCATCACACAGTGCTAATAACCCTTCATTTATTCACTCTGGAACAAATAGGCGCTGTGTGACAAGTCAAAATAGAAAAGAAGAATAGTCAAATGATACGAAGTGCGTAATAAAACTTCACAAGTAATGCCAGCAAATAATTAGCTCAAGTCGAGAGTGTCATGTGTGCTCTGCTATTGGATACGAAAGTTGAAAACACTTTCTGGAATGATTTCTGAGCAAACATAGTATTGGTCCATTGTCCACATAACCCTAAGTGCTACTTCATGCAAACTATTTTGAATTGAAGTTGAAAGCCTGCCCACTTGCTGCGCAGTCGATTCTGTACATGATGCGACGGAAACATGACCGCTTACCATTCTGGTCAGCCGTACTTCAAAGCAGTATATTATTTCCATAAATAAGAGGCCTTTGATAGTTTGATGCTCTCATCCAAACAATTATATTTGCTTGAAACCCGCTTGGCAGATATCAAGGAATTCTTCCCTTGCGTAGCTCAAGTTGAATAAATAAAAAATGGCATTCCCCGATACCCGTCTAGGCCTTTCTGCCTAACCTACTATACGGTCTCGGTTTGTTCTGATAGCGGAATCATTTGGCCTAAATGTGCTAGGAAAATAAAGTGATAATACAAAAAAAATTAGGTATTAATATATTTCAAGATTGTGATTTACTTCGACACTTAAACTTACGTTCTCACTGACGTTGGTACAGAGAGTAAGTCATGCTACCGTATCTAAAATCGTATCTAAAATGCCTAACAGCCTATGGCTCTTGATAATTAGTGAAGTCTAAATACAAATTGATTGTTTAGCACGCACTCGATATAACGTACAAATTTGTCTCAGAAAGTACAAACGTATTAAGTTGTACTATTTACCTCACCGAAGACGCAATGCTCATCGTCTAGATAGTCAAGATTTTCTCCAAGCGTAAGAAGAAATTGAGAACCAAGCATTCCATCGCCATTATTAACCATTGAGAGTGTGCCGAGTTTTAGATGTCTTAATCGCGGCATTTTTTCTACTTCGAAGAAGCGTGCTTGTTCTCCGCACATAAAGTGGAACATTGATTCACCACCACGACCACTGACAGTCGGATCACCGGCCTGACAAACAAAGTTTGTACAAACCTGTAAACCGTATAATTTAATAGTATTAGTAGAGAATTAACTAATTAATAAATTAACTTGTAAATGGTTTCAGCCTTTGCTTAAAATGATATGTAGAGAAGATGCCTTTCAATAGCCTTTCGTAAGCCCTTCAATGCTTAGTTAACAGAGTACTTTCAGATTTTAAAAACTACGTTCCGTATTTGTATACCATCAACCGCATAGTTATAACATATTCTCCAGATGCGTTCATAAAAATAAACTATTTTAAATGCAGTACTGATCTAAAAACAATTCTTTCAATGTTTGTGTTATAGTCATGCATTTTTTTCTTTATCGCGCAAGTATAATATGTTGACTTGTACTATGATTAAATTACTCCTTTTAACACTACTTCTATTTAGAATTCACCCTCGGTATTGTGGTTAACAGTGCCTCGACTCAAACCAGTTAGAATTTTGTTTTGACGCCTGGACAGTAAATTTCAATAGCTATTATACACTATTAGTCAAGCAGTCAACATATATCACGTAGAAGTGCCTCCTAGTGGTATCAGGAACTTGACATTAAGGCAGTATTCGCGAAGTAGTACGTCTCCACGACGGAGGCGCTCACAGAATCGATGTACTGTTATCACTGGCTATTTTTGTCAGTGAAATATTCAATTCGTGCCAAGTTATCAGTCTTACAGACCTTGTAGAACAATTGCATATTATAGTACTTCAGCTTGCATAGTTTCAAGAAGTTCATGCACGTTCGTGGCCTCTCTTTCACGTAGAGGTCTACTGTGAAATCACCAATTGTAGTCTCCACGACTACCGACATCTTCAAGTCACCCAAGAGATCAGCCGATTCAATCAGATTTAAACTATTCTAAGACGTAGATGCAAACAATTACAAACAGTTTTTTAATATACCATCTACCATATTCAGCTCAATAGCGGCTAAAAGATACTTCGTATGCGCCGAAAACCTCAGAGCACAGAATCAGCGCGGGGGATTCCGAGATGTCACCGTTTTCGACAACAACAACAGCAAATATATTAACAACAAGATGCACAACATTTGGCGGGAAGTTTGAAATGATCGAAAGGTGATTGATTTGAAGTGTTTTAAACTAGCGCGCTTTGACTCTACTACTACTACTTTGACATGGTTACATGACAGGTGGCAGGCCAGGTTATTTCTTATAAAAATTAGAAAAACTTAACAGATTGCACCTAATGCAGACAGCGCCTACAAGGCGGTCGCAAAAATGGATATATAGCACTTGTGTCCGTAAAGGGTTGTCTAATGGTTATTATTTAGGCAAATGTTGTATTTGAATGTCATTAACAGTGATTAGCCTCTCTGTGTAATATTTTCATTTTTTACAGTCGCTTGTTAGCCTTGACGGTGACTGGGCCGTTATTGTATAGACAAGTATAATTGTTCAAGCATGAGGCGTGAGTTTTAAGAGCTTTTCGTAAGGTATTGACCAGATCTTCATATTAGGTCAACCAAAAAGCCTGTAAAGTCACAGGCTTTTTGGTCGCAGAATATTGCTTAAACTTCCAATTTCGAACTTATAGGATATGCTACTGAAAGCCAAACATTAGGCAGAACATATGCGAATAGGTGACAAAAAACGCGGCACTGGCCATGCTTCAGGCAGTCGAGTTTTTATTATTTTTTAAATATCCCCGCCAAAATCAGCAGCCCACATTCAGTTTGTTTGGCTACCTTTAGTGTCCACCGTGAGAGTAGAATACGCAAGCGTCTCCTCTGGATAATATTTCAGACATATTTACAATCGCTTAAATATTATTTATAATTCGTATTGTTTGAAGATTACTGAGCATTAATCGGAGAGATTAGATTACCTTTGAAATTGTGCAAGCGAGTTTATTGTGTCTGATCCGGACTTTTAAAGACCTTAGTTGATTAAATAGATAAATAAAATGGATTTTCTGAAAGCAGAAATCGAGCGTAAGCGAAAGCTCATGCAAGAAAAACAGCTAGTGGGACCGCAGAAAAAGTACTTTAAACGCGATGACTTGATTAAGAAAGAACAAGATGAGTATATTTCCAGAGTATTGGGGAAACGAGATATTTCAGCGGAAGACGACCAGGCTGGGTCAAGCGGGGAGGTGATTCTAAGAGATAAGGCTGGTGTCTCAAAAGCAAAAACGGAACAGATTCTCCCGAGAAAAGAGGTCCTCAAACGACTGCGTGACAGAAACCAGCCGATTTTGTTGTTCGGCGAAAGTGAGACAGAGGCATTCCGGCGGTTGCGACGCCTCGAGGTACAAGAACCCGAGCTCGAAAAAGGATTCAGAAATGATTTCCAGGAAGCTCTGGAAAAGGTGGACCAAGTCTACCTGCAAGAACTGCTCAAGGATGGTGACGCGAGTCGAAATGACAATAGAAGCCGGCATGACGTCGCGACGAAGGACGAGGGTACATCTGAGCAAGACATGATTGATATTGGGACCCGTCTTGGGGCCCCAGAGAACAAATGTCGCGATCCATTGGATGTGCTAAAAGTTTTAAAATACCTGCAGTTCCTTTGGGGTGCCCAGCTGAATGCACGCCCCCTCGAAGAAAAAGCCTCAATGAAAGGAAAGCTTGTGTCAGCCACCTACTCGCAAACAGACGCATATTTGGCACCACTCTTTAAACTTCTTGCTAGGCGAACGATACCTGAAGACATTCTCGAACACCTCGTCACAATTGTGCGTCATTTGATTGAACGAAATTATGTTGCGGCAAACGATTCTTATCTGCAGATGGCTATTGGTAATGCTCCTTGGCCTATTGGCGTAACGATGGTTGGTATTCACGCTCGAACAGGTCGTGAGAAGATTTTTGCGCAAAATATCGCCCACGTGCTTAACGACGAATCACAGCGAAAATACATCCAAGGACTAAAGCGTTTAATGACCCAATGTCAACGAATGTTTCCCACCGACCCTAGCAGATGTGTCGAGTACAATGCCTAGAAAGGGATAGGATGACAGCCAAAAGGGAAATAAGCAGTACTACAAAACTGCACATATGTAAATACTAGAAGATTGTAAATACAAAGTTGATTAAAATAGTGTAGAAATAAAGTCGTAATTCAAAATGGATATCATTCTATATCATTTTTTGGCGTATGCGTAAATAAAATGTGGAAAACTGGAAAGGTGAGACTCTATGGGCAGCAGGCGTAAACAGTATCCTTAATTTTTTAAGGAGCTGTTAATTGTTTATTTTATATCGATCCGTATTCAAATATTTATTTTGCTTGGTTACGGTTCACTATAACATGATATATCCGTTAAATAATACTAATGGTTTTTAAGAAACACACAACATCAATATAAACTGAAAACAAACAAAGCCAGTACACGAAAGACCTTTGTTCATACATGGTGACCTTTATTGATTCGCATATGTTCTTAATAATAATAACACCTTAATATATCGCAATACATTTTGGTCATTACAACCAAAATTGAGAAACCTGTGCTCATATATTTCAGCACAGCCAGTCATTGAACGACTTCCACTTAGAGTCGTTCCTCTGTCTAAGCCTTCGAGTCAATTACGACCTCTTATGTCGGTTGTATATTTCACTGTTTTAATTTGTTGCTTCTGGCGTCACGGCAGAAGTTTTCACAAAAACTTTGCGATACTTCAATAGCGTTGGTTCCTGGGACCGGGCGTGCCTGTCGTGTCTCCCCGGATCTTCGCCAGCTGCGAAGTATTCGTCGTAAATAGAACTGAAGAAGTCCTCTTGTCGCTCTCGTTTGTTGCGCCGGACGCTCAGACGTCTATCGAGCTTTTCGCCTCGGTAACTATAAATCGCCACAGATACGCACAAGCATTTTAAGTCTGACCTTTTCAACTAACTTTCACATTTATTTCACTGGGAATGTGCTGACAACTTTATTTGTAGACAGTACATTAATTACTCGTTTTCGCTATGTCTATAGATTTTTCCCAAAATATGCTATGCTGTACATCTGCAATAGCCAAGGCTTATTTGGGTTCAGTAATTTTTTCACTTTTAAACTGCTACTTGTGTCCTTACCCAAGGCCAGATCGGTCTCTTGGATGTTGACCTTCGCTTTCAATCGGCTCTGATGGTCCTTCTTTGCTTTTGCCTACCCCACGGCCATCTGACCAGCCTTGACGTTCGAGCATTCGACGTCCGAAGCCGCGGGTGAACTTCTCGAAGTAGCCCACTCTGTTATCATCGTCATCGGCTTTTCCCTCTCGTAATCTCTTAAAGTGTTGCATCGAAATAAAATCCTTTGCATCCTTATCGCCGGCACCTAAAATTAAGTCGGGTCAAGAAATTTCGTTATACAGCACTATACTTTGCATAACAGTACAAAATAATAGAACACAGCCTGTATGCAACGAAGTAAACTAAAGTTAAAAGACAAAAAGAATGCAATAGTGTTTGAACTTCACGTGCGAGAGCAAAGTTTCAATATATCTGATGCAGCTATAGCGGCGTAGCTGTTTCGTTTGATTTTAGCTAACGCTTTAGAGTTCCGTATTTCCACGGAGCTAAAAATGAATAAGAAAGCTTTTAATATTTAGTGCAATATAAGTTGAAAACTGTATGTTGTACTTGCCATTTATGTAGTAAGCACTCATGTCGATATCCCAATCATCGCTTGTCTTTGCATCAAAATCACCTTCGGCCTCGTCCCAAACTTGTGCGTCAGTGTAGAACACCAATCCTGACCCTCCTTTTTCCCAAACTACTTCCTGTTCCTCTTCGAATAAGCGTGCCTGCAACGGAATAGTGAGCATATGAACATTTGAACATGACGGTTCACGTGGTCCCTGCTACGGTGTCAAGGAAAAAGGGACAATTCATATGTTTACGAATAGTGACGATCAGCAAATAAGTGCAAAACTATTGGTAGTGTTATTATAATATTATTATTTTTGCACCTTTGTTCGTTCCTGGCTGGTGACATCGTTATGAAGAGACTCGTAACGATCCCATTCTTCACCATCATCGCTGTCAGTCGTAGACTCATTATCATCATCAATGGCTCTTTCGTCCTCCTTATAATTTGTCCTTAAACTGTTTGATTGCTTTTTAGATCCGCTTCGCAATGTAAACTTTTCTCCAGGGTCAGGTGGTGATCGTTTTGCCGTCAAAGCTGATCTACTAATAACATAGCCTTTGCCTGTTCGAATAAATGTAGGCACTTCTTCTGCTGACGGAATACTACTTAAATCAGGGGGTGGACATTTAGGTCGAATAATCCGAGTACCTCCTAGACATTTAAAGGGTCGTGCAACGAAGGCTGACTTCTTAAATGAATTATCAGATTGATCTATATTGTTTTGAATGTTTTTGGCTTGTTCTTCCTGTTCTGATACGATGAACGCCAATCCTGTTTGATCTTCGTTAGGGTCGTTGTCGGTTTTCCCTGCCTTCTCCAATCGACAATCAGTCAACTTGGTACTGTAATCAAGCGGTACGCTTCCGTACATACCTCGAGCTCGCATCCGAGGGAATTCAATTCCCAGCTTACCGATCAGTGACGCAGGGAAGCTGCATGCGTTAATCTGTCGAAGAATATAGTTGGTAGGCGTACCTACATTTCCAGCAGGTAGTGCAGCTGGTGGCCGTAATTCAATCATCTGCCGTAAATCCGATAGCGTTAAAACAGCCTTAGGACGCCGTTCTCGCTCTTCTACTGGAGGCAGGTACAAGCTGGATGATTTCGACGTATCATCTGTAAAGCGGTGTCACAACTGTAACTATTACATATTTGTCCATTTTATATTAGAATTTATTTAATCGCCAGTTTAGAGTAGATTAGGCATAAGCAGGATGATAAAGCGCGTTCCTAAATATTATTGGATATAAAAGTATTAGCAATATATTCGTGTTTTTAAACTTACCATTGGCAATCACGACCTTTCTCAGGTAACATCTGCTTGTTAAAGTCTCGCCTTCGCGGGTAACCCAAAAGGCTTTGTTGTAAGACATTTTTAATTCGTCCAGCCTTTCAGTTCTGACCATAACCACGGCGCAGCATGTTTCCCCACTTTTGAATTTCGTGCTATGCGCTGAACCTGAGGCTTCTTTGATAGTGTTATCTTCTGCAGGCTTCTGTACCTCAGGTCGATGCCTGAAAATAATCGAATTACGCATGTATGTTACCATAATATACACACATCGTACAATTTTAGTGAAACAGTAAGACAAATTATTTAGCCACTCGCCCCGAACTAAATAACATGTCTATGTCATTTGATTTGAAAACGGTGAAAAACAAATAAAATCGTTATATTGTATTAAATAATTGTTTCGCGCGAACCAACCTGTAATGAAAACAACGAAATCCGCCAGTTTCAACGATCTGAGAAAAGAAGTTGCGCAGATCCGACGCCCGATAGGTTTTCGGTATATTGTGGACCATAACGTAGGACACGGCAGGTTTCATCGTTTTGGAGGTTGTTGCCATTGTCGTGTTTCATTTAATCTTGTTTTGTTCCAGTTTACTTCGAATTTTGTATAGCTTTCAGCTCAATGAATAGATGCCCAGTTATGCCATAACGAGGCTCCTCGACACTATTCAAGTCTATGTCTTTGCGCGGTCAGCCCCAGACTCTATGGGTGCACTATTTTTATTTATTTATATATTTTTTTAATTTATCAACGTCTCTAGAGTTTCTAACCATACCTTCTTATATATATATATATAACGCTTCCTTTATTTATGTGCACAGTTATTTTAAAGCACTAACATTTTTATTTGCATCCAAGCACCCCATTTATGTAAACGGATTTCCCATTAACGTCTTCGTCTTTAGTGCTGGATCTGTTTATATACACACTACAGCTTTGCCTTTGTCACGTAAGACTCCCGGTTTTTGAGGTGACGTCTCGACCTTGTTAAACGTTATGCTAGGTCACTAATTCTACTGTGAAAAAACCATTGTCTACTATTCAAGGAGCTATATTTGGACTGTCCTTTTATTATTTGAAACTCCTGATTTCCAGTTAACAATGGTTAGAATATTCGAAAATAACCAGATCTGTCCTTAGCTGAAGATAGGAATAAAGTACTCAATACAACACTGTTTCAAGTCTACAGCCCTACTAATCATATATTCTCAAGCAAGTACCAAAGTACTCATATCGAGATTCTGGTGGCCACAGCGGATATTCCTTTTCTGAATAAAATTTCTTAAACTGGACCTAATTTGCTCTAATCTATCGGTTGCACTGTATACTGGGATTGCTAAAGGTTCATCTGTTCCATCTGCTTTTTAAGAGCCGGGATCATGTGGACGTGCTTTTGTAGCGCCGTTGTCTGTATTTGCATTGAAGCGACCAACGTCTGCATTTTCGAAAGATTTATCTCGGAATTATAGATGGTACTATCCTGCAATGGAAATATGTGTTAGTTGGAAATAAAAATATCGAATAATCTAGCGATTTCAATGCCCTCTCTCGTGAGATGATTTTAGATTGCGTTTGTCTAAGAAAATATATACATTTAATATTTGATAACTTCAAACTCAGTCATCAAAACTACCACTTAAATATTTTCACACTCCTTTATCTTAGACGGACCTGAGCAGCGAAGTTCTTTGCGGCTTGTCCGAGTGTCTGCTGACTGCGAGCTCCCTTGAGAACCTGCCTGGCGAGCAAACCAAGTCCGTTGACGTTACTTTGAACGCGCTCGGTTAGGTGAAACTTGGAATCCTCGAACAAAACTTTAGCTGCAGTTGGCGTACTCATTACGGCTGTCTAAAAAGTAACAAGAATGTACAAAGGTGAACGGTAAATAAAAATGATTCAATAAGTAGATAGGCAAGTCGAACCAACTTCTAAGCAGCCATTTTAAATTTCCTATGGTTCCATTTGCTCGGTTCTTTGGTACTCGGTCCAATATATCACAACTGTTGTCAAGGCAAACAACTGTCTTTCATTCAAAACAAATGCAAAGTAAAAATGGCTACTTGCCAAAGGGCAAAGTACATTTATCAACTTAGCTAAAAATCATCATAGTCTAACAACATAACGCTAGAAGCTGACTGTTCCCTCCTTACTACCGTTTTCATTAACGCTTAACACATGGTATGGTTTTATTGTTCACCTGACGATACCGCCATTCGTGACGCGAATCAATTGTAGGATCCTCTTGCCGTTCGATCGAACCGAAACGATACTACACTTCGTTGAACTCGTCACTCATACTACTTGTGTCCAAAACAACAGATACGTTGTTCTAACCATCGGATGGCAAGACCGTGTTCGTAAACAACACACAGCAGAACTTTAACAGGGACACGCGCAGAGTGAACCGCGTGAGTTCTAGGACTGTCTGCTCAAAGCAAAAGTGGACGGCCCGGGTAAATTCAGTTTTCTTCCATTGTATTCCTTACCTAATAAGGCTAGAAAGGTTGAAGAAGCTTACATATCTAAGCAAGTTTTTTTTTTTAATTTTACATTTAGTGTTGCCATTAATTATTGTTTCAGATGGCGGCTGTCGGCCTTCGAACCCATAATTTTGTGGGTCTTTCCCGCTTTTGCATCATCTTTTAAGCACTGTCGGAAATTAATTTCGTTTCGTTGTTATAGGGCCGACATGTTTTTTCTAGTGACTAGCGTTCTCGAGACGTTTGTCGCTGCTAAATGTTTTATCGAGACAAAGCTACATTACAATGAAGCAATAATATCCTGTGAAGAGAAATTAGACCTATCGAAACCTAATATTTCCTATGATTTTAGATATGACAATGGACGTTTGGTAGGTGGGGACGCCACATAATCCAAGTTGCGCATGGCACCCGACTGCTAGAAATATAATGCTTGGAATTTGCGTCTATTAATGTCATTTTTGATATCTGTAGTGCACGGTAGCGTAACAGCAACGAGATTCATTGGTGGGCAATATAGTTCGTCGGTGGAACAAAGAATCGCCCCAACACAGACAAACGTTAGTTTGAACCTCATATCCTGTTTACACCATGATAATCGCTGATACTAAATGCTAGCTATAATTTGCTCGTTGTAACCGATAGACTGTTATAATGTTTGCCCCTTTTTTGGCCATACTTAGTTTTTTTAGCAGGCACATTGAGGGTGAATGAATATATTATTAACATATCAAATAGAACGCAATACAGTCTAGTTAACAGCGATAAGTTTGTGTCATGAAACCACGCAACATACTGAAAACACTTGCCATGTTCACTCTAAGATATTTATTTATTATTTGGTGATTTATTATTTCACGTTAAGTGCTTATGTGACCGATTGCGCCCTGCTAGCAGGCACAATCATGGATAATTATATATGCAGTGGCGAAATTACAGGAATCTGTCGTAAAGTTTAAAAGGCATCAACGTAGCTATAGCTTTTGCACACAGAAACCTCATTTAGCAAAATGAAGAAAATAAGCAAGATCCTCGCTAACGCCTCATCGTGAGCACAGGAGAGACAGGGATGGTCTTTACTGTTTCCTATCTCACGAAGCGTGTTATGCTCGGATTTGAACCTTAGACGTGCAAATGTTTTGCGATACTAAAGTACCTGTTTATTCTACACTTTGACAGTAATATCTATTCATATTTGAGAATACAGTATCGAGGTTACCGTTTACGTCTATTATCAATTAGAAAATATTTAACGCTAGAAAGTCCTGCTATGTCTTGTGTCTTTTTCGGCGTTTAAAGTAACAAAATATATTGGTGTGATTATAATTAAGATAAATTTCGTACGTCCTTTGGACGATTCTTCGAAGAATAAACCCCTCAAATAGAGACTTGCTTTGGATTAGAGATTTAAGTCCACAGAAAGCCATATATATCTTGAAACAAACAATACATTTTCCGAACAGAACGCTTATTTTATTAGAAGTGTTTGAAACAGTATTTTTAACCAGCGGCAAACTACCAGCCTCTGCTGCTTATGTCTTCAGTTACCGCGGATCTGAGCCGTTGGAAGTGTCAGCTTTGCTGTGAAGTACTCTATACTGTACGATCCGGTCTCTTGTGCCAGTGAGATATCGGCTTATGAAGCTTATGCCCTTTATGGACGCAAGATTTACTAGATGCAATGCTTGACGGCTGTCCATTTCAGTATGCAAGCGTTATTCTACAGTTGACAATCAGTGCCCAGATTGTCTCTCAGGGTACTTCCTAAGATTCTTTTTTGTATCTTTAATGATATTTTTCAATAGTGCAGCTTTAAATGTTCTGTAAAATGTTATTGCAAATGTGTAAAAGGGAAAATCTGGGTTGAATAAATGGCGCTGTTTCGCTACTTATTAGTAACTAACTATTAAGTACGCTAACTTGTACGCTAATTTTAAGTGAGACCTGAATGCTTAGTTCGAGTTAAACGAACAAGATAAACCTGGTAAGCCGGAAGGTATGGGCAAGTGATAGAATAGCAATGTGTTCTTCTCATGTAATAGATGTGATATATGTCTTCCTTTGTTCTTATATTTTACAACATAAGTATAGGCGTCTTGCTCATACCTTTTACGAACGTCGTTTCCTACCAATGAATTCTTTCGAGAGCAGTTAGAGTTAACACAGTTAGTGTGGTCGAGTTTGCAAACATTAACTACATAATACAGATGTGATTAAGTTAACACAGAATATTGTTGTTATTATAATCCGTCCAAGCGCTTCGACAGATTATTGGACGGGTACCACTGAACACACTAAAACCGTATAATACCCGATTGTGTTCTGTAGCTGACGTTAGGCTATACCGTCAGAATAGTCTCTCCAAACGCGAACTTGCTTGCATTCATTCATTTCTAAAGCTGATTAACTAAATTAAAAAAAAAGAAACGATTCTTGCACAGTAACCACGGTCTTATGTCAACAATACAGACGTTGTTGTTTGCATTGAAATTTTGTTTGCAGATTGAAAAATTGCATGTAGCACTTATATAGGGATACGAAGCAAGGATCAAAAGTGGACGGTCAGAATCCAGTCCGAAATATAGTAGTGCAGTTTACAAAAAAGTAAAGTTACAGGCAAAGAGGAACCTGCCTCAATGATCTATTTTAGTTTCTCCTGACTGGAAAAAAAGCTAGTTTTACCTAATTTTGAGTCTACTATTCCTCCTTTTTGGTGTATAACAAAATGTATGTATAAGCTTTTAATGGAACATGAGAGAAAGCAAGCTTTGTCTTTATTCATGCTCCTTATGCTATGCAACACTTGAAACTTTCGTATGTAATGAAGCTTGTTATTCTCCTTCTTACCTATCGTTCAACGAACGCGCAGTCAAATTTCATGCGATTTAATAATGCTAGCCTAGTTCTCCCATCGCTGTTCTTCACGTGGTATGATTTTGTGTAAAAGCACCATTACGCTTCCTTCTTTTGGCGAAGCTCATGTTGAAGGAGCCGTTGGGGTTCTTTTACCAGCTGACGCCATGGGGTTCCTCGAAGCCCTTCTTTCGTGCCTTTGCGCCCCCTTTCAGCGCTCAAATGCCCTCATTGCACTTGTTTTAGATCGTAGTGCTGGGCCCAACCACTAGAGGGCGTCAACATGGGCGTGTAGTGACCTGCAGCAGGCCAGTGGGCGGGAGCTGCGACACCTGAAGCGTTAGACATTGGTCCTTGCGTGCCTAGGGGCGGAGCCTAACGAGCCTTGCATTAAGCAGCGGAGTTTAAGGTGTACGCGGGCGAGGGTGCTCGGTCTAAGGGGAGACCGCTCTTCTCCGATGTTTTCTCTCTCACTGACATTGGAGGACAATTTCAATAAGGTGGTCAGCGAGGCGTGAACGCCGAGGAAGACGGGTGTCACTGTCGGTGTATGAGTCCGTTCGGGGACTGCACGAGACTGAAGGAGACAAGAGTATCTGTTACAGACCTGCAATCTAGGATAGCCTCTACACATTGCAACGTGGACAGGCGCATTTCATCTTTATCGTCTGCTAGGACAACTCGCACGAAACGGAACGAAGAAAGATTGTCCTGCTCAACTAATTCGCCCCGTCCCGTGTGTGGTTCACGTCCGAGTTCATCCAGCCGTACCAGAACAGAGAGACGGCAACAGTTGGCGAAGCTGCGTTGCCTCAAAGGCACTGCTAACTCAATGCGACAGCCTTTAGAGGCTCGATGAGCAAGGGCTAGACGCCTGGGAAGACCAAGGCAGGGATTCCCTTGGTCTTCGCTGTAAGTCGTTGTAAGCCCACGCAACTCAAGACACGGGTTTGCTTCGCCAGGAAGGGCAAGTTTACGTACCCGAAGGTGTGTAATTTGTGGGGTCGCTGGGCGCAGCAGAAAGACACGTGAGAAGGCCAAGGTAAGCCGAATGTGTGTGAGTGTGGCTTGAATTGGTTCGGCCTTTCTGCCCTGAGGCCCTGAGGTGCGCCCCTCACGGAGTCCGGTCAGTGTGGGGAACACTGTTTGCTAGACGGGGCAGACTTACGCCTGGCTAAGCACGCAGTCTCGCCAGCGTCTCCTGAGTACGATTCAGCGAGCACAAGCCTGGAGACGGTGTTGTTGACAGTATTAGGGGCAGTGTGCGTACTCGTTGACGTAGTGGTAGCTGTTGTCGCCGCCACCGCGAATCCCCGGTGACGTGCAAACGGCTGAAACACCGGCACGTTATTAGAGGCGGTCATTGCCGAGGTAGACGGGAGGTGAAGAAGGTGAAAAACACGGGGCAGGGGGCAAGGCAAGAAAGTGATCCGGGAGACGCGTTTAGCTCCCGAATCGACGCAGTGGTGAAATCGTGCGTGAAGTGCTAAAATAGTTGAGGTGTACCGAAAACGATCGCGAGTAGAAGGGGGTGGCCTATTCGGTGACTGCGTGGAAGGAGCTTCTTGGGTAGGGAGAGTTCAAGAATCGTTACGTGTCCCAGTCCAGGTGCTTACCGGCATGTCTGGAAGCGAAGGGGTGCCTCCCACAGGGGGAGCGACCACGGGGTCATCGTCCGCGGGAGCCGGTGGTTCGCAGGCGTCACCGCTTAGCTCGTACGGTCTACCATTCGGCGGGCGTTCACCACAAGGCGGTGTGTCCTACCCCTCCAGTGGCTACCTGCCTTCGGAGCTCCAATTGAAACAATGGTCGCAACAGCTGAGCTCGGCAGGAGCTAGCTCGCCGGCAGATCCCGTCGGATACTCGCACGGTCAACACGGATATCCTACTCCTTTTTCAAGTCCTGATCCTTTTTCGGGTGAGTGTGTGTGATTATGTTGCAATTACACGGAGGAAGGGTAGAAGAGCAATGCGGTAAAGGTTGCCTAGTCATGTCAACCAATGTTAAAGAGTGAACTTCGCGTCAAGTAAAGCGCTTCGAAGCTAATATGCGTGTTAGCTAGTCGGGACTCCGATGGAACTAGCCAAAATTGAAGTTAGCTATCGATAATAGTTAGCCGCATGACTATGCAAATATTTCCCTTGCTAATGATCTATTAAAATACTAATTTAATTATTACTAATTAATGGTTTCTGTTTAATAAGTAATATACTTAGAGAAGAGAAGTTATACGTGTATTCATATTAATAAGTTGTATTAAATAATACACTGACGGTGTGTTGCAACCCGGTGACGGACCTTTTATGAGATGTAGGATGACACCGATGCGATGCAACGGAACATTATCGATATCGATGAAAATGTGTTCTGTATAAATTAGAAGGTGCGTTTTGGCAAACAACTGAAGTCATCAAACTGTAGAATAGGTACTTTTTGATTTACTGATTAACCCTATAACTCTATACCGAAGTGAACACATTGTCAAGGTGATAACAGAGAGATGTCTAAATGGTCATCGCTGCTACTTTAATGAAGTTATGGCTATTGAAGTTGTTACTTACCACGATGCGTTTAGTTGTTTGTTTACTTTAAATAGGACAAGCTTAGCATGATTATCGCATGCCCAGTGAAATATAAACAATTTGAAAGGACGTCTCTGTGTTTCGGTTTCGAAACCGCAGTAAATAGGCAGACTTAACTGTCCAGTGGATTTTGAGTTGTGAAAGTCCACGATTAGTTCTCACCACTCTCGTAAATGTTAAAGCAAGCAAATCGGATTCTGCAAAGTAAGACGGACGGTATAAAAGTGTTTGTTAATGAGCCTATAAAAAATCCCTTACGATCCAGATGATCCTATATTAGATTTTCGATGATACACCTGTTTATTAAAAATAAACATGTTTTAATGCTTCATATCCTTCATTTTCATTTACAATCCGACAAGCTTTTAGTAAAACGGAGTCATTACATTCATGTTATTTAGCTTGTATGCGTTTTTATCACGCTTGGGGTTGTAAAAAAGAGTCTTCCACGAAGAAATGTTCATTATTAGTAGCAGTATTAGTAGTAGTAGAAGCAGTATTTCGTATAGATAGAATATATCGCACACTGACATCGCGGTTTGTTCACTTAACGCCTTTGCTGTTTCATTTAAAGTTTGTGAAATAGACGTTTATCTTACCGGACGCCTAAGAGGAAGACAAACGAACTCGAAATCAATGGCCCACCATCTAATCGAATTGTTACTTCATAAATTAAACATCAAAAGTTTTGTGTAGTATTGACCACATCGCTAGGTTACAACTGACAACTTTTTTAGTTAGAGACTACTGCACATAAGCCATAGTGTCGATAATATTGTATACTGAAATTTTATTAAATTACGTTTTGTCTGGAGCTCTATCGTTCACTGGTCCTCTTCGTTAATTGCAGGGTTTGCATCCTGTGGAATGACAGTGGGTTCTCTTCCTAGCTCACTGGGCTGCAGTCGAGCCCTAAGTCCGCTATATCCATCCAGCGCTGAAAAGGTAAGTTCTATGGGCTGTTAGGGTCAGCAGAAATGTCGCTTGCCGCTCGAGACCACTATCTGACTGTTTTAGTCTTTCGCTACATCGGAACACAGCCATATAACTAGCCCAATTCAATACCCACTTCACTGCGCAGGCGAATCAAGCTCTTAACACATACCGGACGCGAGTGACTATCTCGATCCAGCACTATGTATTGGCCAGGCGGCGGTCGACAATCGTACCACAGCACAGAACGTGCGCATGGCCTTAAATCAAGGCACCCTTAACGCGTTTCATGTTCGACATCCACAAAACGTTGTCAATAATCCTGAATATATTTTTTGCAGCCTTAAACGTGCAAATGAGTTTTCTTTTATGGCGGCTTTTTCTCGCCCGGCCAGAGCCACTGACAAAAAGCTAGAGTTTTATCTTCATCATCCCATTTTTGTGATGACGTGACATTATGGCGCAATGATTTTTAGGCTTTGCTGGGGCTCGCCGTCGGAAGTGGCAGTGTTGGTAGCGCTAATGGCAATGTGCCGACTGGTGGCGTTGGAAGCGGGGGTGCGATGAAGAAAAAGCCCTCAAAACCCCGCCGGCGTGTGGCCACAGTGGCGCAGAGAAGAGCGGCTAATATCCGCGAGAGACGCCGCATGTTTAACTTGAATAACGCCTTCGATCGGCTTCGCAAGAAGGTAAGTTCGCCATTCAAAAAAGGGCAAATTAGGTATTTTCCGCCGTAGTACAACGGCGTCTTTGTCCCACAAGGTGTACATAAAGTAAGCCGAAGTGATCGATCTCGTGCTAGTATTTATACAAACAGTCACGGAATAGGCCCTAATGATCTGTACTCTTCAATTACCATCCTACTTGTAGAGTCGGCGCGCTCTACTAATGGGCCATTGCTCATTGTCACAACGCGAACCATTACATCAGCTCAATAGCGATTTCTTGATCTAATCTCGCTTGCACCTGATCTCCACGGTTCCTTCGTTACTCGTTGCTCACAGCTAACGTTGTTGTCGAAAAGTGATACCGTGATGTTGTAAAAACGCATTCATTAACTAATCCCAGACTTTGCTTACAACCCAGGTCCCGACGTTTGCTTACGAGAAACGCCTCTCGCGGATTGAGACGCTCCGCCTCGCCATCATGTACATCGCGTTCATGTCTGAAGTTATTCACCAGGGTCCGGGAGTTCCGCCATCGCTGAATGGAAGCCTTAACGGAGTACTCAATGGATCGTCGACCGGTACCCCACTCTGTGGCGGAGGATTTAATTCCTCGTTACATTTAAGCAGTACGTTGAGTACATCGTCTGCTGCGGACGATGACGACGAAGTCCTATCCCTGTCCTCGTTCAACTCGACAACTGGCGGTCACCACAATTCATCTGGGCAGTATTCGCCTGGAGTGCACTCCTTCTAGGCTCAAACTAGAGCCGCAACACACCCATGGAAAAAGAAGGCCACTAGTAATAGACAAGAATAAATTACATCTCCCAGTGATGGCCATTGTTGAGGACTGAACGAAAATGAACCTGTGTGAATAATTTCGGACCAGAGACGAGTGAAAGAGAACCTGAATCCGACAATTTACTGTACATACATCTTTAAAAAAAACAATCATTCCACCTACTTCCTATTGCAAAAAACATTTGTTTAGTATCTAGGCGAAGAGCAACAGAACAGATAATTTATGGTACTAGATACCGAAGTTTGTTTTACAGCGCAGTAGGTACAGCTCAAAAGCCGGGACCCGATCTGAATCTTTCGACAGAACAAATATGATACGTTATCAATTAAACCTTTAGACGTAAAGGATAATGACAAACAATTTACATTATGATTTAACGTACATAGAGCGTTTTCCATTTGACGGTGAGCCCGTGCACATAGTGTAGTGACTGAACATAACAATATAAAACATAATCTATAAGAAATATATTCATACGTACTGCAGCCCTCTTATCTCTACGATAGAACTATATCCGGCCGCTGAAAGCAATAGTAGTGCACTGATTTAGCAATACCGTTAAGAAACAAGCACAAATACGATCTTAATGTACATAAAGAGATTACGTATATATATTGCGCCAGCATCTATTTCCAAGGTCGTGGGTCGATGACGATCACAATAATAGCGACACGACCTCTCATGTGATCAAGATATTCTAGTCATATTAACATAACAGTTACTGACACTGATGAAATAAACAAACGAGCGTCGATTGTTTTTCTGCTACACGAGACTAAAATGCTCCATGCGTCACAACAAAAAAAGAAACTGGGTAACTCGACTGAATCAGGGATAGTAATGATGAATGTATGGATAGCAAACGGAGATCGACTGACTAATAAAGAAAGATTCATAAGCTATTATAATCACTGTGATTTGCTGTTCATCATTTATTTATATTGGTCTGATATTAACGTACGGATTGTTACTGTTATTATAACATCGATCCTTAGCAGGAGCTAAGAACAAAGGGTCCTTAATGCGATGATTGAATCCCACATGAAGATTAGACGAACAGTAACTTTATCTGCTCTACTGCTATTACGCATACATTTCAGATTCAGTTATTCTACTTAGTTACATTTCGTTGTTATTATATGTTGTATATGTAAATGTGTTAGGGTAAATCTTTGCGTATAAATTGTTTTGCATTCTAATCTGGCCTATTGACGATGTTCAGTCGCAACAAAAAGGAAAATAATCAAATCACAAACATGGAAACATTTGAATTCTCGTAGTTATTACGACCACTATGGCAGTAAAAGATAAAGGAAAGTTCTGTTTGCAATTCACATTCAGTATTTTCCTCAGATGCGGAAGTTCGAAGTGCGCAACGAGCCACAGAGACTCTCCTTGTTTTACGGTAGCGACAAGCTATACGCGGTCATCCGATACAATCAACGAGGCTAACGGTAGGTCGACATAACAGAGTTGCCAGCGAGATTAAGTGAGAGAAATGTCGCTCATGTCATTTACCTCAATAGCTAATGAACTGAAATAGATTAGCAACGAGTCACTTCCAAGACCACGATCTGTATTTAAGCACCCGTAGCAACTCCATGCTAGACAAGGATGCTATCGAGCATAGAGGCAGGCTTTAACTTACCAGACGCTTGTCCGAACGATGGCGCTTCTCATTGGCGGGTTGAATTCAAATTAATTTTTGTACGCTTTATCGCTAGTCAACGATCAACAGCGAATACATACTTCACCGAGGGTACCAATGACCTGTTAAATACAACGCTTTGTTGAAACAAGCCAATTACTACTATTTCCGAATATTTATTACTATTAATTAATTACTATAAATTAACTAGTTAATAAGTTTTAAGTGGCTGAAGCAGGATATGACTTACATTTTCGACCATATTTGACCGACAATACAAATAGATTTATCAAGGAGATATCTTGACGTTGAATTTCAGGTTGATTAGCGTGTAGAGACTATATAGCAGCTTCACGTAAGCGAAACTCCCAACGAGCCATAGCCAACTAGACAGAAACGCTAAGCCTTGCGGAACACGGCCAGCCGTCGTGGCTGTTGAAAGCGTGGCAAGACATCGGGATTTTAGTAGAGATTATAACGTGGCTTGCATAAAACAACGACGAAAAACACAACGTAACTTTACAATGGCATGACCCAATGCAAAGATGCTTATTTCTGTACTACAGGAGTCGTAGTAGCTCCCTAAAGACTAATTTATGTGTTTCTTACTCTACAATTAAATAAAACATTAGCGCTACAGGAAAAGTCCGCGTGTTCTGGTCAGTTCAGTCCCGCTCGTAAATAGCTAACAATAATTCCGCGTATCAGAGATTTTATATAAGAGACATTTTACAGAAAATGTCTTTTTAGCTAGGAATTCTATGACGCCAAGCGAACGCGTTTGATGCGCAGCTTCATAGTGAAGCCCTTCGAACCAAATCGGACATTATCATCAACGGAATTCGGGGCTGATGCCACAATGACCGTACTCCTTAACGTCGACTTCGTCTTCATAGGACGTACAACTCGCTTTAATGATTTTTGAAATGAGTATAGTGATCCAAAGGTCGTTCTCAAAGAGATGCACTTACAAACGATGGATGAATTAAAAAAAAACGCACATTAGTAAACATAGTTAATGCCATTCGCAAACGGATACAGCCGTGTTATCATATATATATATATATATATATATATATATATATATATATATATATATACTATATATAATTATATAGCATAGTGTGTTAATTGGATCCCGTACGTAACAGGCTGACTCCGCAATTAATGATGCCAGATATGTAGACTGAGTAAAGATTTGGATTACTTTTGATTTTGCCATTAAGCTATATTTTTTCGTGTTAGGCCCTAAGCTTTTGTATCTGCAGCCTATTCTCGCACTACTACATCTGACTAGATGCAATAACCAAACGGCGTATTAGAGCCGTCGTAAACAGCTCTAAATGTTAGCTATCGCTAGTACGGCACACAAAATTTAGTACTGTCCCAGCCCACTTGGGAAAACTGGGCGTCTATCGAGATGTTATGTGGTTTTGACGTTAATTTCGAAATTATTCGACACCAGAATCGTTGCACCAGGCTTATGCAACGCCTACTGTCTATACAGGACTACGCAGCTCCTGCATATGATTATCTTGCGTGTTGTTATAGCCAACGAAGCTAAAGTATAAAAGGGAGATTCCACTCGCCGTAGCCTCCAGCAGTTCGTTGCTTCTAAGGAAGACAGTTTAGTCGTGCAGCTGCCCGTAGCAGGGCAGACCCGTAGAAAGAACGGTCGATTGTATACGATCGTCTTTGCCTGCCCCTCCGTGCCCGATCACAGCGCTGTTTAGCTCCGCCTCCTAGGCAATGGCCCCTCCATGTTGGCGAGATGGGTTGCTTACCCAGAGCATCGCTGGCTGTACGGCGCAGGCCTCAGAACAGTATACAGCGATGGCGGACAGAACTTTGAGCGAATATATTTCTTCGCCAGCTGTTACCAAAAGCCAGTCAAAGCAGACCTATACAGCGAAGCTTCTAGCAAAGGGGCGAATGGGGTTGCCGAGGCGAATGTTTGGATTCATCGTTAGCTGTGGAAAAATGGCCGTTCGCTGTGCTAAGGGGAATACTGTGGTGCTAGTGGTACCAGGACTATACACGTCAGGGCAGCTCCGAAGTCTTAGCCCTCCAGCTCCTTGCGAGGGGAGGCCACATACTACAGTTACTACTCATGTATGGGACAAAGCAAAGATCGTATCCCTCTTGGTCGACAGTTGCAAACTACAGCTGTTCGAAAAGGCGTCAAAATGACCAAATCTGAATGGACATCAAACGAATAAGAGAAAATAAGCGTTCAGTTTAAAGTAATGCAAATGTGATTGATACGAGAGAAAAGTCGCGCGCCAAGCGTACAGCTGTAATCGATAACAATGTGTATAGCATAGATCGTACTCACAGGAGAGAATCGGCTGATATAGTTTTCCTAGGAACCTGAGGAACTTAGATGTCTCTTTTCATGATTTAACCGAGCGACTACCTTCCAATACGAACGAACTGAAGAACGTGCGTTCCACGTGAAAAAACGTGGAACGCGTGTGTTTGATCTATGGAAATTGCTGCGCTGATTACAAAGCGCTGAGCATCGTTTACATGAGATTGCAGTTCACTGCTGAGCTAGCAGCGTAAAGGAGAGAGAGAGAGAGAGCGAGAGAGCTCAGTGTTGCTGGCAGGGTAATATGTCTAGTTTGTCGCGCGTAATCGGCTGCGAGAATGTGATGGTGAACTGGTGTCCTGGTAGATCTTCGAAAATCGTCTGCAATCAGCATGAAATATTCTCAAATCTCAATTTTAGAAAACAAGATGAATTTGGGTAGCCTGCAGTAGACTTTCGAATAGTTAGTAATGTTCATATCGATCTTTGTAAAAGCTATTCCAATCGATGTTTGGTACGAGCTTCTGTATTCTGCACCTGACCCACCCTAGAGATCTCTGTGGATGAAATGGCGTTCCTCTTTGACCAGCCTTTTCAAACAATGTATATTAATTTTCCAACTGACTGATCGTAATTTCTGTATACCATTTCCTTATCAGGACAAGATGATATGGTTTATTAGTATAGAGTTAATGGAACTTCAAATGTTTGCAGAACGGAAACAAGTTCGACTCTCTCCTTTTCTCATAGTTGGCCCTTTTTGTACAGAGTTCTCTCATAGAACGGCTAATCGTGTGCGGCCGCATTCACAGCCATAGCGATAGAATGAGATTCGAAATGCCAATTTACCGCCTACAAATCCTGTCATCACGCTGCGCTCACTGCGTACCATGCTTTCGCCTTTCGATCGTTGACGGCTCAAGTCAATCTCGTTTTCCCTTTAGCATGCAGGCAGTACCCACACACACGGTCCCTGTCGACCCAGGCTTAGGCTTCAGTAGAGTTTCGTATCGCTAAAACTTGTCGGTTAACCAATAAACAGCCTTATTTGATGTCGTCAGACGACTACTTGGGGTCCAGACCTCGAGCTTCTCCTTATTTTTTCAAGGCTCGCTCACTTACCTTCAGACCGCCGTTAACAAATAATTTCGTCACACCCGACCGTTAAGGTCGAAGTCAGCTAGCATGTGTAATGCGAGTGAGCCCAATTTGATTTTGATATCTTTTTAGTTCTCGCTAGCGGAATACGAGCTTGCCTGACCTGTAAACCGCAGATCAACCCTTCAGTTAGCCAAGGACCGAAAAAAAACGATTCCTAAACACGCGTACATTTAAGACTATACAGTATCACTTCTCCTAAGTGAGCTCAGAAGTCTCGGTTCAGGTCATAGAGCGGAGTCGCTTCTAAGCCACCCAAGCGTCGCCTTACGTACAGAGAAACAACAGCTCCGAAGCGATTTCGATGATCACGAAATTAAGGAGTTATCGACATGCTCGCATAGATTCTAAAGTTGCCAGTTTTTTCATTATGCACGCATCTATAAATACATCTCAACTTACTTATCAAGCAACTTAGAAAACTGACTTAGTCGAAATCAACGTGAAAGAAAAGTGATTCCTACTTGGGTAGGCTAGTATGAAATTTGCCGAATCCCTAAATTGAGTACCATCGATGTGTTAGCGGCCCAATGGCTGGACGTAGTTTGTAGCCTTAAATTTACACCGGCACGCTCACAAAGAGAGCCCCGCGTAACAGATCAATTCATATCGTGGCGTTCAGTAAATATTTTCTCCCAACAAAAGTTTTTGTTGCCCTACGTTTCAGTTGACTCTGCCGCTCGCTTACGGTACTACTCGCACTATGGGCCAGCGCGAACTGATGCGAGCAGCAATCAGTGGCGACAGTGGAACAGCCTTACGT